TATTACAGAGGAAACATACAAAACACACACCACACACACATACAGCTTTTTTAAGACCACCGGTCTTATACAGATTCACTGCAGGAAGGAAGCATAGATGGAGCTCCTATACTCCAGGCAGCACAGTAAAAGAGAACATCACACATACAGCTTTATTAAGGCCATCGGTCTTATACAGATTCACTGCAGGAAGGAAGCATAGATGGAGCTCCTATACTCCAGGCAGCACAGTAAAAGAGAACATCACACACAGCTTTATTAAGACCACCGGTCTTATACAGATTCACTGCAGGAAGGAAGCATAGATAGAGCTCCTATACTCCAGGCAACACATTAAAAGAGAACATCACACATACAGCTTTTTTTAAGACCACCGGTCTTTTACAGATTCACTGCAGGAAGGAAGCATAGATGGAGCTCCTATAGTCCAGGTAGCACAGTACAAGAGAATATCACACATACAGCTTTTTTTAAGACCACCGGTCTTATACAGATTCACTGCAGGAAAAAAGCATAGATGGAAGTGCTATACTCCAGACAGCGCAGAGAGGAAAGAAACAAAACAACAAACAAATTAGAACTTAGAATTAGAAATATTTACAAATGCACATGTATTAATCGACAGAGTTAAAAAAAATATATATATAGACAAAGTGGCAGATGTAAGAGAGGTAAAAAATCATTAATATCAGGGAACAAACAATGTCTCACTTCTGTAAAGTTCGGACAGCCGTAGATAATATTTGTTTAGTTTCTCCGCAGGAGCAATTTGATGTTTATGATAGACCTCTTTTATATAAGTATTTCTGGAATTTTTCCGTGTGATGTGATTTTACTTTATTGAATACTCCAAGGATTACCAAAAAAAGCATTAAAGCCGCAAAACCTTTTTATTTACTCTATTAAAGGAAGCTTTCGGGCAATTTCTTCTTCAACTAACTAAATCCTTCAGCTAAAGAAGACGACTTGCCCGAAAGCTTCATTTAATCAAGTATGTAGAGATTGAACTCTTAAAATCACGATCATTAAAACAATAATAAACAATAAGAGGAGCTTCTTGTGTAAATTTCTTTATTACCGCAAGCTTTCGAACAGAACGTTCTGTTCGAAAGCTTGCGGTAATAAAGAAATTTACACAAGAAGCTCCTCTTATTGTTTATTATTGTTTTAATTAATCAAGTATGTAAATAAAAAGGATTGCCGCGCCTTAATCTTTTTCTTATGATTTTTTACAGGCATGCATGGGAGATTGGCAATTATTTTCTATATAATACTCTCAATATATTTTGACTCTGTTTTTAATTTACTGTTGTTTTTCATAGTGAAGGTGAAATGATAATTAGATTAATTTTAAATAATTTATTATTATATGAATTTTCTTGAAGAAAATTTTGGCTGATACATATAATAAAAGGCATTTGAAATTTTAGATCAAGAATGAAAACTCTATACTTTCCCCTTTGGGGAAGATAACCAGCTTGTCAGGGAGTTGGTCGAGTTTTAGTCTTTTATTCAGAAGGACTAAGGCTCCCCTTGTCGCCAGTGATCCAGATGTAGTCCTTATTTTTTACCAGATTCTTGAGTTATTGTCTTTATTGGAATTTCAAAGAAAGGAAGAAGAATAGAAGAAAACATCCAAAGATGTAAGAAACAGTCGAATAAATGCATTCACTACTTTGTAAAAAGACCTTACAATGTGTTAAAACGTACAAAACAAGAACCATAAAAAGAGGAAACAAGAAAACATCCATAGAAAGGAAGGCTGTACAGGCGGGGTGTGACAAAGACCTTACAATGTGTTAAAACGGTTAAAACAAGAACCATAAAAAGAGGAAACAAGAAAACATCCATAGAAAGGAAGGCTGTACAGGCGGGGTGTGACAAAGACCTTACAATGTGTTAAAACGGACAAAACAAGAACCATAAAAAGAGGAAACAAGAAAACATCCATAGAAAGGAAGGCTGTACAGGTGCGGTGTGACAAGAAATATAATGAGCCTTCAAAGTAATCAATCTTTATTTCCACAAAATGGGGATAGAGTTATCGAAGAGGCAATTTCTTCCTGGCGTGAGGCACCAACTTTTTTCCTTTTATGGCAACAAGTATTGGTGCTACGTTCAAAGTTACTATAAAATAAAAACTATATAATTTAAATGATGATTAGCCACATATATTACCCATGCATTCAGATAGGCACTCTAAGATCTCATCCCATCAAAAACATTTGTCGCCAGTTGATGGCCATTAGAAAAAAAGGCAGAAGAATAGAATGGGTATGGTTTAAAGAAGAAATTGAGAATGTAAAATTATTAGAAAAGTAAAAAACATGATGAATTATCGTGCTATCAGTATTTGGAATAATTAACTAATTTTGGACGACAAATTTTCAATTTGAAGTAAAATAAGTTATTGATTATGCTCTTTAGTGCAATAAATATAACTTGAGAGGTATGTAGTTAAGTAGTGATTTATATATTTATGCATTAATGCTTTTTCTACAATTCTAACAACATGCATAAAAAGGAAAATTTTGTGCCACATATATATATATAAATAGAAACTAATTATGAATAAGAGATAAACAAAATGAGTAGAAGAAATTATAATTTTTATTTTCGTGATGAATATTCTAATATGTCAAAAAATATTTGAAATGTTTAACAACAAGAATCAACAACAGGATCAAATTTATAAATCGGCTTTTACCCGTCATATTCTTGTCCAAAAAAAAAAAACAATTGGGATTAACGAAATAGATATACTTCAATAAAAAAGAATAAATTAAAATATATATTCTAAAAAAAGTATAAACATATAAATAATAATATATAAATATATCTATTTTTTAATATTTTGTCAATTTTATCATTATTTTTTAGTTGTTTTGATATTTTTTATATATTGTTTGTTTGGTAAATATAAATATACTTGTAAAAAATGAATAAACAATAAGATAAAATAATAGATGCCATATATACATAGATGCGATGGATGCCAAGATGCATATTGAATTGAGGCCAATTTCCAGTAAGTAGGAAACCGTGTTCCGCTAACCTGGTGGATTCTTGACAAGCTGAATTAGTGGCTGGATTGACCCCGGCCTACCTCTAGAGAGATTCCTTCCTAAGGATTAAATTATCCTTTCTTTTCTTCTTCTGAAGAACTTCCTATTTTATTGAACATGTTTTTTTTTTCATCTTAAAATTGTGTTTATTTGATTTTACTTCTGCAATAATTTGTACTTCTGAATAATTAGCGTGATAGATTGATATAAATAAATATATATTTGTAAACCCTCTCTTATATATATATATATTTAATTAAAAAGGCATATATTGGATCAAAATATTATTTATTTTACCAATATTTCAGTTGGCTGAACGCCAAACTTTATCAAGGTGTTATAACATATTTAATGTGTGCCAAAAACAAACTCAGCGCCACATAACGTCAACAGAATTAAGTTATGTGGCGCTGAGTTTGTTGTTGACACACATTAAATATGTTATAACACCTTGATAAAGGTTGGCGTTCAGCAGGTTGGTATTGGTAAAATAAATGATATTTTGATCCAATATATGCCTTTTTAATTAAAGATTTATTTATGGATTGCTCTATTTAAAATATATATCTATATATATAAAAAGAATGTTTGTTGGTTTGTATGTCCGGTATACAAATTCGCAGTAGTTCACTAATTCAAACCAAAATTTCCATACATAGGTAAAAAATACGGGGAAGACGATAGGCTATTTAAAAATATATATAAATCAATTATTAAAACTATATATTTTTAGTCAGAAAATGATGATGACGATATTGCTGTATCATCTTTGATTATTAGATACATAATTATATCGGGAAAAATTCCAAAAAGCAGAGACCACGGGTGAAACCAGTTCATTATTTTGTACGCAGGAACAAAATTCTAACAGAAAAACATTCATTAGAGCAGAAAACAAAAGCCAGATAATCTTTCTATAAAAATATCGCTTCTCAGACACAAAGTTTGGAGCGGGACGTTTCACAAAAGTGACATCCACGGTGCCAATTTATAATTGTAACGAATATTATTTGAATAAAAACATTTAATCGGGTAAAACCCGGGCGTTGCCCGGGATATTCGGCTAGTATGTTATATAAAAGTATTATTTTATTTGAAATTATATTTCATAGATTCAAATATTCTGTTAAATCGACCGCCAAAGGTCATGCTTCCCCTATAAAAACTCGTTGTTGTTCTTCTCCGATGGCCGGCTCAAAACTTTTGTACATTATGTAAATAATCTTTTGTTTTCCTTATTCTACTCGCCTTAAGCCAGGTTTACTTTTGTCAAATTATGTTCTTTCATATATATTCCTTAGCTCAAATAAAGAAATCTCTGATTAAGACTTTATGTTTTCAATATTATTATTTTAACCACGATTGCATTACATTACCATAATCCTCAACATGATTAAAAATACAACAGAAAATCTCATTCATCTTTTATTTATAACATATATATATATATATATAATTATATTCAAATATATATATTTATATCGTTTTTTTATTACGCTAATTATTTTAATTCAAAGTATATATACACGTTATGCATTAATTTAATATCATCAAATCAGACGTGATATTCCCACAAGGAATGCTTGTGCCAAGCAACAACACTAATTTCAGAAAACTATATTACATAAATAATTGGTGAACTACAAGGTTTGAGTAGAAGTTTAAAGAAGAAAAGAAAAGAACATTAAAATCATGCTTGATTCCACATCCTACCTAGGAACAATCAATGAAATAAATAAAAATATACGTTATACATTATATAATACACTGCGGCTTGTGATTGTAAAACAACACTTGAAGTTACACCGCATGAGTTTCTTTTCAATGAATAATCTAAATTTATTTCAAGGTGAAATATTGACTATTTCTAACCTTTTTAGATGCGGTATGAAAGGGTGAATTATGAAGAGTAATGATGAACGGAAAAATAAAAGTGTCCAGGGATGGAAATGGAACCCACAATGTTCCGCTTACCGGGCAGATTCCATGTCCACTAGGCTACCCTGGACGTATTTTTCCGTTCATAAATAATATATTTTTATACGTTATACATGTTGATGAGTCAAATCTTACCCAATATCTTTCTTTTTGTAGCAGGAAAGAAGTAATGAGATATTCTAATACCAATACACTATAATGAGCACCTATACTTCATAAAAAGAGAGAGTTAGAGAGAGAGAGAAAGAGAGATTGAGATTGAAACTGATTTCTTAATAAGGAAATAAGGAAACCACAAGTTTGGAAGATGGGACCCAGCAAACCGGGAGAGAGAGGGAGCGCTAGCGGCTGCCACTGCGGAACGACCGTTTGTGTCGCACAACACCCCCCGACTTGTCCAAAAATAGGTCCTGAGGGTTCCAAGAAAAGCCCCCTCCGGCATGTGGCCAGTGGTTCAAAATGGCCGTAACTTAGTTGCCTTCTATCGACGTCTCTCTCTCGTTGACTGTAGGTTTACTTTATTATTTCTGGCAGAGCATATATTATGACATATATATATTTACATCAGACATGAGCCTTCTCTGAAGGGACGTCTGGATAATGTCAAACGTTCAAGGCCGCCCTGAGTTCGGAAAGGCCCGTAAATATAAAAGGGTTTTTGTCCCCAACGTGCTCAATTGCATCGCCGAGGAAATCGTTTAGAATTTTCCTATTTCCAGGCGAGAGTTCATCGGGGAGTGCTTCTCTGTCAGAGCGGTATAGAACCGCGGCCACTATTTCATCATCATCAACCTCTTCATAGAGAGGGGCCAGAATAGAGTCAGCGTTTAGCTCTAAGAGAGAGAGAGAGAGAGAGAGAGAGGAAAGAGCATCAATATTAAACTATGTGTATGTTATATATTTAAAAAATGAGATTTCTGTTGATTTTTGATTATCTTGAGGATTATGCTATGGAGTTATTTGCTGGTTCTTTTTAGTACTAAATGGTATTGGTAATTGCAGTCGTGGCAAAAATCTTGAAAATATAATAATAAAATATAGTTTAGATCAATAATTGCTTTAATTTAACTAAAGAAATATAGAAAACATCATTTGAGAAAGATATGCCTGACTTAAGGCGTAAGAATAAAAAAAGGAAAAACCTATTTACATAATATACAAAAGATTTGAGCCGGCCATCGGGAAACAACAACAATGAGGTTTTATAGGGGGAGCGTGACCTCGATTTAACAGAGTATTTGTATCTATGAAATATAATTTTTTAAATAAAATAATATTTTAATATAACATGTATATTTCTATGTGAAAAAAAATTATAAAAGGTCAGGTGATGGTTTTAAAATCAAAAGAAGCTTATCCAAACCACGTTCACAAGAACATATAGCAGTGATAATCTGTCGTCTAAAAGGTTCACATGTGAACGAGGTCAGGATATGCTTCTTTGTTTTACTTATATATACTTCTATGTATATTTCTATGTTTCTTATCAATTTCTCTAAAACTGAGAAAAATATTATAATATTACAATTACAATTACAATTATTTTATTTCCAAAGCGCTATATCCCGCAAGGGATACTTGCGCCAAACAAGGAGAAAATTTTATTTACATAAGTTATTTACATTATTCAAAGCTTGAAAACATTAGAGATCCAGATTTTCTAGAAAGTTTATAATGTATTTACAAAATGAATTGAACTTTAAATATGATTTTTTTATCGGAAATCAAATCGTTAAGTTCACAAACAACTAGTTCATTCTTCATTCTATAATCTTGAAAAAAATGCTTATATAAATAAAAATATTAAAATATACTTGCCAAATAGGATCAGATTATTAAAATTAGAGAAAGGTTAACCTGTTTATCACACGCTGCAGCCTTTAATCCTCAATAATACAGGTCAAAATATTCTTCCATAAATTTAATGAAGATATTCAGTAGAGAAACATAATGTAATTTGATCTCCTTAAACATTCCTTTGATTCATATGGTGGTGAAGAAATAATTGATATTTTATTAATCAATTTAATTATTCAATGAAATTATTTAAAACAGATTTTTATATTTTAATATTCGTAAAATCATCATATATGTTGCCTAGTTGGCTTGCTTGATATTCCCAAGCTGTAGATAGTTGTTCTTGTTTGATAATTTTCGACTAGTCGTACTGACGTCATCAATAAATACTTTTACATCTTAAGATATTCCAAGACTTGATTTCTACGCTATAATATCAATAAAATAAAAGTACATTAACACTTTCAGCACAAAAAAAAACAGAATGTCAGCATAGAGGGTATCAGTTTATCTCATGACTTTGGCCTTCATCAATACAGACCGGATGCCATGAAAACCTACAGGGCCTCTTCATGTAGGAAAAACGGCTGACCCAATTACTGTCTTATCAGCGTCTAGGAAGTCGTTAGGCAAGTATCAAATCCTTTTTAATACCTCCCTTGATCTTTCACAAGTCTCCGACTGTGACCATGATACCATTCCATCTCTATTTCAAGAAACTCTAAGGCCTTCTCTAGACAAGATTTTAACCTTAAATGCATAGAAAATGTATAACTATATAATACCTGTACTATACCGCAAAAACCGTACCCCAACAATGGCTATGTCCGCAATCCAATTCAATGTACAACAACAAAAAAGCTTAGAGACAACGACAATATCCCTATTCGTTATTGAATAAGAAGCGGCAAAGTACGCGATCTACGTATTCTTCGTAGATCACGAAATACGTGGTGTCGCTGGAGACCCACTGGCGATTCTCCACCAAACTCTGCAGCGCTGGCAGAGGCGCCATATTTATTGTACATAGTTAATATAATCCATATTATCTTTTTTTTTTTAATAGTGCAGACTGTGTACTTTGTATGTATTGACAAGAGGTCAAAAAAATTATTTTAATTGTCAAAATATAGAATAAGAAACAAAAGCCAAGAAGAAGAGTAATTTAATAAAGAAAAGCTCTTCTCCCCGACTTTTATTTCTCATTCTAAAACAAATGACTTTGACCTTTTGGTCATATACAGATTCACCGAGTAGAATAGGGTATATACAGAAATGGTACAGTAATAGTAATGATAATCTGCAATGTTATTTATAATGTATCAAATAAGAGGATAAAGAAAGCAATCCATTGTAAAGACTTAATATCATATTGACTTTTTTATGGATTCTGTATGAATAATCTGTATAAGACTAAAGTATTTCTTATTTCTTATCTCTACTCAATCATATTAGGATATCAAGTTGTGACCCTTGATGGTGTCTGTTTGACAACCATCATCATCTTCTTCTTCTTCTTTCTTATCTCCACTCAATCATTAGGGTATCAAGTTGTGACCCTTGATGGTATTTGACAACCATCATGAGTGGGTGAAGTAGAATGCGTCTGCCTTTGTCATTAAGACTGGGAGCACTACTCAGTGGTAGGCCGACTTAGCTCCAAAAGAAATGGCCGCCTCTGACATGAGGAACAGACGTCATGTGCAGCCGCTCCTAACATGGAGTACAAACGCTACTGATCCTGTATCCCTGGATTAGGAGCCCTTACAGGGTACTATCAGCCGGGCCAGCTGAACCCAGGTTTTTTAGTGAGCTTGTTACTGCTCCCCCTCCTCCTTTTTATCCAGGCTTGGGACCGGCAAAGGCGGAGTTTGACTAAAGTATTAAAAAAGGCTTGTGTGCATGTGTGAAAGTGCGTTGTCGGAATGATGATAGACAGAGTAAGATAGCAGTACGTGTTGAGTGGGAGAGATTTGTCTGTGTACAGTAGGACAGACCAGCTGGGAGAGAGAGGACGGACATGGGTAGTTAGACATGTCCGGCCCTTTACAATGGAGCTCTGCGTGAAGGGCGTCACGCCACATCACGCTAGCCTGTCTGACGCCGCTGGTTAGCTTGAAGTAATAGTTAGTAAACTACTTGGTTAGCTTCATTAAGGTATATTAACAAGCTGATGTTCACCAAAACTATTAATTTATTAATTATCAATGTAAGAAAACCAGGTATTACTACACTATTTCTTAGAACTAACCACTATAGTTCAATTGATATAAAAGAAGGCTTGGCTGTTTGCAAACTCGCTAACCAAGTAGTTGACTAATCATTAAAGAATGTTTCTTTTACATAAAATAAACTTCTACTATCCTTATTGTGATGAAATTGGGAGGGCTTTGCTCATCAATGGCGAAATCACTGGGAGAGTTCAGTGAAAGCATTAAAGCAATAATGTTTATTTTACATAAAACAAACTTCTACTGTCCTTATTGTGATGAAATAATATTGGGAGGGCTTTGCTCATCAGTGGCGAAATCACTGGGAGAGTTCAGTGAAAGCATTAAAGCAGGAATGTTTCTTTTATACATAAAATAAACTTCTACTGCTCTTACTGCGATGAAATTGAAAGGACTTTGCTCATCAATGGCGAAATCACTGGAAGGGTTCAGTGAAAACATTAAAAAAATAATGTTTATTTTACATAAAACAAACTTCTACTGTCCTTATTGTGATGAAATAATATTGGGAGGGCTTTGCTCATCAGTGGCGAAATCACTGGGAGAGTTCAGTGAAAGCATTAAAGAAAGAATGTTTCTTTTATACATAAAATAAACTTCTACTGCTCTTACTGTGATGAAATAATATTGGGAGGGCTTTGCTCATCAGTGGCGAATTCACTGGGAAGGTTCAGTGAAAGCATCAAAGCAAGAATGTTTATTTTACATAAAACAAACTTCTACTGCCCTTACTGCTATTAAATAATATTGGGAGGGCTTGAGTCATCTGTGATGAACTCTCTCCCAGCGGTTTCGCAAATCTAATCTACCAGACCGCTTCTTAGAGCTTTAATACTGTATTGGATCATTCTGCTTATAAATGATACCCTAAAAGGTGGGATCTCAGAAATGGATTTCAAGAAAACTATGTACATAAGCTTTTTAGGACAGTAGAATTACATATAAATATGTTTTATCTTTAAAAGAAACATTCGTGTTCTAATGTTTCTATTTCTTATGTATAAATGGCTCGTTATTGCTTTATATTAATAGTAAGTTTATA